TGCCCTAATGATGGAGTAGCATGCAAATCACATAAATCACTATGTATTAACTCAAGAATGATAGATTTCCTTGTTATACTTTTAAAAGGTTGCCTAGTGATCTTTGTTAACATGCAAGTTTTACACTTTTCTACATTTTCATCAAAAACAGGAATTAAATCATCTTTAGACATTTCATGCATTCTTTTATAATGTACATGTCCTAGACGAGCATGCCATAATGATGAATTGATAACATTCGAAGAGGACATAAATACAGAACCAGAATCATTAGGAACTCCATCCAAATTCATCATAAACATACCATTATTATAATATCCAAATCCTACAAACACACCAGACTTCGATAAAACATATTTATCTGGTTCACACACTTGCTTGTATCCAAGCTTATTTAATACAGGACCAGAAATTAAATTCTTACATAGTTTAGGAACATACAAAACATTAAACAAAGTAATAGTCTTTCCAGAACTGAATTCTAGCACCATGTTTCCTTTGCCTTCAACGAGAGCGAAGTGATCATCTCCCATGTAGAGGACAAAGCCATCTTCCATTGGAAAAAAATTCTTGAACCAGAAAAGATTCTTGCAAACATGTGTTGTGGCGTCAAAGTCAATCCACCATGCGATAGCATCATCCTGCACATAAAATGCTTCAGAATTTAGTGAAACCGAATGTTTAATCAAATTATTCAAATCACGAATTGATTTTTGACCTTGGTTTTTGGATTGGTCCTTAGACCCCTTTCCTGAACCACTTGCATTCGCGTTATCGTGCCTTTTTCCGGAACGACAATCCTTCTTAAAGTGGCCTGTTTTGCCACACTTCCAGCATTCTAGTTCGGTTTCTTGTTAGCACCAAAATTGCCTTTTTTGTTCTTGAAAGCACGCTTTTTTCCTTTGTTTTTGTTGTTATCGTTCTTACCACCCTCTTCGACCATATTAACCGAGGGTCCAGCAATTTCTTTTTCTTTTCCTTTGTCACCCTCCTGCGCTCTTAGAGATTCTTCTATGCGCAAGTGACTTCAAAGTTGGATCAAAGATAGTTCGTCTTTTCCATGCTTCAGATTGTGTTTGAAATCCTTCCACGAAGGAGGCAACTTGTCTATGATGCTTGAGACAGATATTGTTTCATCCATCTTCAATCCGTGTTGTGTGAACTGTCCAAGGATTCGGAGGAGTTCATTGAATTGTTCCATGACAGACCTCGATTCAACCATTTTGTAATTGTTGAAATCGGTTACCAGGAACTTCTTACTGGATGAGTCCTCTGCCATGTACTTGGATTCGAGACAATCCCATAATTCCTTTGCATATTCCATGTTTTGATAAATATCAAATAAGGGATCAGACATACCGTTAAGAATGTGCCCTCTGCATATGTAGTCGTCGTTCTCCCACTTTGATCTGCGTCTCAGACTTTCAACCGTGTCTTCCTCCTGAAGTTCTGGAATCGGTGTAGACAGGACGTACGCTACCTTCAGTGTTGTCAACATGAAATGCATTTCCTTCTGCCAACGCCTGAAGTCTTGTCTTTGAAACTTGTCCAATTTTCCGAAATTTGTAGTCATCTCCTTGATGGTGCTTCCTCCAGCCATGATTATCAGAAGATACTTTGTTCGTTTGTTAGAAATTAGAGTATGATAATCCTGGATAACTTCGAGGAATCGTGTTCGTACACTTTCCGAACAAAGTATTTCGATCCTATTATTCCCTGGGTTCACGAAATCTTTGTGGGGATAATTCTTGAAGAACAATCTGCTTCTGGCAATAGAGAACAGATCAGGAATGTAAAGAGAAAGTATGGTTTTTGTTAAGTGTTTTAAACTGAGGCCAAATGACTCCTTATATAGGAGATTAATAACAGAAACCGAAAAGACACAACTGTTCAGAAAACGGTTAAGTCGGTTGGGAAAGGGTTTAACTGTTCAGAAAACTTTCGAACGGGTTCAACTGTTCAGAAACTGTTCAAAAATTTCGAATAGGGGCTCTGTCCCTTGGAACCCCAACGGGGCGCTGCCCCGCACCCCGCCAGGGGCTTCGCCCCTCGAAATCCCTTTTCAATTATTCACATTCAATTACACGTTGGCTCGACGAGCGTGCACTCCGCACTACTCTAACTCGTTTCCAAGCTTAACGCATAATTGCATCGGTCTACAGTAAATCACATTACTACTAAAATACATTGATGATACTAAAATACCAACACCCTCGACCTGAAACCACTATGGACTCTAGATGTGGAGTTGAGTACTTTATTTCTAATCATCTATTATCCTTAACAAGATGGTAATAAAGATGGTTGATGGGTACTCCACAAATCATGTTGAGGGACATGAGTCACCTAGGTGGAATTTGCACATAATACGTAACATGATATATGTTTAAGGGTCCAATAATGAACTATACAAGGATTACACAGTTTATGCCTTGTGTTCAATATAGATATGAGAGAAAAGGGTAATTATACACACAAACATTATTACAGAAAAGTTTTGTCATGTCACATGACATTTTTTAGACTTGGGTAACAACGATGTGTTGCTAGATACTACTCACTATTTATTATATTAAATTTGTGATTTAGTATAGTTGCCAACATCACAAGAACCTACTGGGTCACACATATAAGGACAGATTGGCGAGAGACTAGAATATGGAACACCATAATATATAATGTACTTAAGAGAATTATGGAACAGCGTAAGGTACAACACACTTAAGTGAATTATAGAACACCATAAAGTATGATGCACTTAAGTGGAATATAAAATATTGTAAGGTACCGTATACTTAAGAGAAATACATTACATCCATCACTTGTAGTCTCCCAAGAGCGAGGAACCTCTATAAAGAGACGATGAAAAGGAAGATAGTCAAGGTGATGGCCGTAAACAAAAAGGAGGGAGACACTTCAAAAGGGGAGCTAGAAAGATCTATCCTCGAACTTCATGATAACGAAAAGGTAGGAGAAATCCCAAATAAGATATTCTCTCTGGTGATTATAACCACCATTGTAAATTTCAATGTTTCCTGAGTCCTCGTCGGTGGTGGTAGTTTCTGCAATATCATGTACTCAAACCTTTTTTGATAAAATGAGGTTGAAGAAAGAGAAATTATGGTCATATGAAGGATCCACTCTACAAGCCTTCAATAACACAGTAACTCGTCTCTTGGGGTACGTTAAACTAACAGCCACTCTAGGAGAAGGGCGAGATACCATAACGATTCATTCATAATTTCTAGCAGTTTTATGCAAAAGCGCCTACAACTACATCATGGGCAAATCCTTCATATCGATCTTAGATGCAATGGCTTCCTTGGTCTATTTAAACTTAAATAACACAATATCCATGACGAACCGACGACAATAAGTGCAAACTTGTATGAAGCAAAAAGGATATACAAGGCCTTACAACAAAATCAGAATGAAGGCAAAGCAAATTTATGAAGATCAATGTGGCTTCTCTGGTTAAGATGTTAAGGGACAAGACTATCAAACCCTCGACAGGTAAGGTAAATCACTCTGGCCAAAAGCAAACTATTCAACCCTCTGTGCAGGTAGCGAGTCCATATGAAAGTCGAAGCAAACTACTATGTCCTCAATGGCCAAAAGCTCTGACAAGACTTTTTGGTTAATTATAATTTACTTCATAAGTAAATTTATGATGCACAACGTTATTCCATCAAAGAATAAATAAATTTTCACTAAGCTCTTTATTTTCGTTTTGATTATAAAAGGTAATGACGAATAAGGGGTGTTATCGCAAATGTCATATGCGTACAACCAAAACAATCAAAGCCCCATCACAAAAGAGTCAGGGTGTTGTCACAAAGGCTACAAACATACAATTAAAGCAATCAAAGCCCCACTGTGCCAATGTACAGACAAAAACAACAGACCACAAAGCAGCAAATATGATCTCACACCTTCTTGATAGCTAATCACTCTAGAGGCAATATGAACCCACATTACGCCGACCTCTAATCATGTTTTCACCTGAAGGTAAAGAAAGGGTATTGACCCTTGGTCAGATAGAGTCCTAAAGACGTCTAATAAAAATTTGAGCACAATCCTATTTATAAGAGAAAATTAACTTTTTAAATTATTGAATAATTAATATATCTCATGCATTATACAATCTAAATACATTGATTTTTCAATAAATTTAAAAAATATATTTTTTTTATAAATAAAATCAAAGATAATATTAAATAACAAAATTTACAAGAAACATAACATTTACTCATTCTATAAGGATACATACGCGCTCATCAAAACAAAGAAAAAATTAATTCAATTTTAAAGATTCATTAGATATATACAATAAAATATGAAAATGTAAGAACAAAATTAAAAAAAAGTTAATGTCACATGTTTGTACACGCAACCTCTCCATTGGTTAAGCATGTCTCCCTTTTAAAAAAAATCAATATTCCTCTACAATATTTTTGACTGTATTAATTAGTTTTTAAAATACTTATCTTTATTGAAATAAAAAAAGGAATATTCATCTTTATCATATATACTTTCATAATCACTAGTAATAAAAATAGTGAATTTATTGCGTATTTTTTCAAATCTATAATGAACCTAGTCAGGAATTTGAAACTTACAACAGAAGTAAAGAAGAAATCCAAAAAAATTAAACATGACATACAAAATTAGATCCAAGCAAAAGCCTATCAACATCTTCAAAGTATTTGACTAGGCCTAAAAAAAATAAATACAAAACAGCACGTGACGTGAGTGTTGTTGCGTCTCGTGGCACCTTCACTGAAGAAAGATAGCAAAAGAAGAAAGCTACGAGAAAGGCAATCGTTTTTTCATCTCACCGACCCATCCGTCACAAACTTTTGCTTAATTGCCTTCGTCTTCTTGCATGCTTCTTCTGCCTACTTATTCGTTCCGTTCCCTTCCGCTCTCATTCATCCTCTCACCAATCGCAATACCATTAGGTTTTGTTTCAATCCTCCTGATCGTTTGGGTTTTCACCAATGCCGCCGGATTTCTCCGAACTAGACGGTGATACTGATATTGAGTTCGCCGAAATTGATCCAACCAGTCGATATGGCCGGGTGCGTTGTCAATTTTTTATTAGCTTTTGTTAATATCTTGCTTATATCTGGATTGATCTGATCCAAAACTAACAATGGCCTCTGTTTTGATTTTTGTGTGATGGATTGGTCAGTACAAGGAAGTTTTAGGGAAGGGGGCTTTCAAGAAAGTGTATCCTTTTTATTTTGTTTATGAATTGTTATGCTCAATTGATAAAACGTTGATGTATTTGAGTAGATGAATATAATTGTGTATATTTGATATGGATATGTTTGGAATTTGGATGAAATGAGACTTTTGTTTTTCCTTGACAGTAATTTTGAAATGTAGATACCGAGCTTTTGATGAATTGGAAGGAATTGAAGTGGCTTGGAATCAGGTTAAGGTGTCTGATCTATTGCGGAATTCTGAGGATTTGGAGCGGCTTTATTCTGAAGTTCATTTGCTTAAGACTTTGAAGCATAAGAATATTATTAAATTTTATAATTCATGGGTTGACACCAAGAGTGAGAATATTAATTTCATTACTGAAATTTTCACATCCGGAACATTGCGCCAGTGAGTGTTTTTTGGTGATGTTTCGTTTGTGTATTTTTTTAATTTGTGATTTTTAGGCCATGAGTTGCAACCGTCGTCCTTCCTTATAGATATTGGTGTGTTTTTGTGTTTTAAGCTTAGCTTTCTTAATGTAGATACCGGAAGAAACATAAGCATGTTGATTTGAGAGCTTTGAAGAAATGGTCTAGACAGATTTTGGAGGGCCTTTCATATCTTCATAGTCATAATCCACCCGTTATTCATAGAGACCTTAAGTGTGATAACATTTTTGTCAATGGGAATCAAGGGGAGGTGAAAATTGGTGATTTAGGGTTGGCTGCCATTCTTCAACAGGCCAGTTCAGCTCACAGTGTTATAGGTAACATTAGGCCTTGAAATCATTTCATGTATTATCCTTTTCTTATGTGTATTACTGTGAAAACATTGTTATTGAAAATATCTGTAATTCTTCCGAGCCAGGTACCCCAGAGTTTATGGCCCCGGAACTTTATGAAGAGGAGTACAATGAGCTTGTTGACATATATGCTTTTGGCATGTGCTTGCTAGAGTTGGTAACTGTTGAGTACCCGTATGTTGAATGTGCTAATGCTGCTCAAATTTACAAGAAAGTGACATCTGTAAGTCCACTGTTTTCAAAATGCTGGGACAATTTTACTTTAATAGAACATTTAATAGAACAGTGATATTAGAATTTTCAACTCCAATCTCAATGCTGATGAATTTAGGATTCAATCTGAAAGCTATACAAGTTTTTAGAGACTAAGGTTTTCTGGAACCCTTTAGAATTTGAATAGCACATCAAATTAAGCATCAACTTGATGAAATCACTTCTTGAACCAAATAGTTTCTCGTTGTCTTATACCATTTGTGATTATGTAGTTATTACTCATTTGTGAAAACAGAAACAAAAATGAAAAAAATTTCTAGAACCAAATAGGTCCCTGTTGTCTCTCTGTCATTGCCATGATTATAGTTTTTTGTTTAATTTCCAATAGGGAATAAAGCCAGCATCATTGGCAAAAGTAAATGATCCTGAAGTTAGAGCCTTTATAGAAAAGTGTATTGCTCATGTATCACAACGGTTGCCTGCAAAGACTCTCTTGATGGATCCCTTCCTTCAGTCAGATTTTGACGGCGACAGTGTCGGTCGATCTTCGAGATCTAGAACCCAGCATTCAGGTAAATATACTTTACATTACAAAGTACCAAATTAACATTCTACTTTTGTTTACCATCCAATATATCAAATGCAGGAAATAAGTTTGATGATCTACCCCGTGCAAAAAGTGACAAGGATAACTCTGTTGAGGCAAATAGGGAATTCACTGTGGAAGGCCAGAGGAGAGATGTTAATACAATATTTTTAAAACTACGAATTGCTGATTCCTCAGGTATTCTCTTGAGTTTGTTTGTTTTTTTTCCAAAGAAACAGAACATCTATTTGCTTTTTCATGGTTCTGATGTCCATTTGCTTCTAGGCCATATTCGAAATATCCATTTCCCTTTCGATATTGGAGCAGACACTTCAGTCGCTGTTGCCAGTGAAATGGTTGAGGAGTTGGAGCTTAGTGATCATGATGTTTCAACCATTGCAATGACAATTGACTCAGAAATTCGATACCACATCCCTAGCTGGAGCCCTAGTGAAATTCCCGACAATAGCTCTTATCCCACTGTAACTATGCCCGAGGCTTCTCCCAGAGTAACTGATTCTCCTGGCAGCCTTGCTTTGGAAATATTACCTTCAGGTCGTAAGTACTGGTCAGACTCACCTAAGGGTGTTGGTGGAAGCTCTCCATGTCTGCGCAGTGCTTCAAATTTCTCTCATGAAGTGGATGTGTTTGCTGAGGCAGGCGCCTTGTTTGCAAATAGTGCGGAGAAGGAACGCGATGGGACTGCTGATTCCCCTTCCAGTGAAAGAAGTTTTACATCGGAGCATTTTGAAGCCGCTGGTGAAATGTCCTTTCAAGAAGAAACATCTGAAACAGAAGACATCGGTAAAATAGCATCAAAGCTGGAAACTTTATTGGGTATGCAGAGAGAGGAGTTAGAGGAACTGAAGAAGAAGCACCAAGTAGCTGTGTCAGATTTTTTGAATGAATTTTCTCCAGAAATTTCCCTACAGCTTCTAAATATATGCAACCTGCATATGCCTGAAAGTGAAGTGTAAATCTTTCATGCATTTTACTTGGAACAAATTGCACAGAGTTGATATTTTGGGTTCGTGATTGTTTGAGGGATTTGTTTTAATGGAACTGTTCTTCATATGATGTTCAGGAGGAACAGCAGCCGAGTCAATAACTTTTGGTTGAGTGAAGACTTAATCTCTTCTTTAGCATGATGACTATTGCTATTGCTGTATTTAAGGGTAGTGAAATGATAGGTCGTAGTTGTAAGACTAGATTATTTCAATTTCATTCCCCAATAACATATGTACATAGTTTGGTACAAGTTATTAAAATATAGAAAGTGTATAATTGTACATATTCTTGCTTTCGTTTCAGTTTATATGGAGGTCTTCCCAACTAAGAGTTCACCGTTGGTAGCAGTTAAATGCTGAGCATAATATCATCTATTTGATCTTGTTCTTGCAAATTATTTTTCATTTATCATATCAGTATTTTCAAAATTTTGGCATCATAGACTTAATTAGGTAGAAGTTTGTAAACATAATTTAAAAACAACTTCTTTAAGAAAAATTAGAAAATTAATCTTACTTAAAACTGAGTTTGAATGAAATGTTTTTAGTCTGCAAGTTAAGTTTATAATAAAACTTGGCAGAACATTGTAGAAAAATGTGTACAGTCAATTTTAAACTTGTTTTATTTTCAAAAATTAAAAGATTTGAGACTTTATAGCGCATGATTTTTAGAATAAAAATAGAAGTTGTAGGTTTATACTAAATAAAAGGATAAGAATTTGTTCAATGTTAATGAGTCTATTTGAATCTATATAATAATTAAACGAATTTCTAAGAGATAAAAAATAAGTAAACTTAAGAAAGATGCGTGCCATTTAAATGGATTTGGTGGGAGAAAATGACCCAATTTCTTTACCAAAAATTGGCTGTGAATGAATTTCCTTAAAAAAAAATATATAGGGTATGCACCGACACCTCTGGAAATGTCTGATACGTGTCAGTGTTTAACACTTATGTAATATATGTATAGCATATGTTGAAAAAGTCAAACAAATATCACACATTTTTTTACTATATTTTTTAAATCAACGTCCAACACATCTATAACATTCATATGTCAATGTCAAACACTTCGTATAAGTCTTTTGAAAAAGAAAAATTGCTTCAAGACACTTCATACATTTTTTTTTAGACAATTCTCACATAAATCTAAAAATATAAAATATATATTAAAACAAAGGATTAAAGACATTAAATTTTATTGAAATATTTTTTATTTTTTAAAATAATAGATGGATAACAAAATCTCAAATAATATCGTAAGGTGGAGGTGTCAACGTCTTATGTTTTGACACTATCACTGTTTTGACACTATCACTGTCAAAGTGTCCATATAGTACTCCGGTGATCGTGTCGGAATCTATGCTTCAGAGAGTATGTTGCAACAACTAAGAGCATAAATATTGCTAATGCCAGTTGGACCCATTTGAATTAAATTGTTTCAGTTATTGTTTATATAATATAAATGTTAGATATATTGTGAGATTTTGTGGGACCTATTTAGAGTTTTTGATGAGTTATATGGATATTTAAAAAATATAGTTGAGTTGTTTAGAAAATATATAAGTGTAATATAATATAAAAAATTATGTGGGTCCCATTTAAAGAACCAAAATGTAGTTGATGAGTGTGAATGCTCTAAGTGCAGTTTAACTTAAGTGAAATCTAACTCAATCCTATAAAAAAAACCATCTCGTAGGAAGATGGCTGCTCCAACTTATAAATCCAAGTTGAGGCCATATATTGTTCATGTGAAATTCTTAACATTTGTTAAAAAAAAAAAATAGGAATATGGTTTTGGCTGTTGCAATTAGCCTCTTAGTCTTATTTGAAAAATGGGAGGGGCAGTTGATCATTCCCATATTCGACACTAATCAGTGCGAGATACTCATACCCTCAATGAAATCACACTTCATAAGTGAGAGTAAGAAGAGAAGAAAGTGTATCTAAGCTAATTTGGCACTAGATTTTGTAGATATAGCAGACAAGTCAGTTTTAGACATGGGCAGAACATTCAGTTAGTGCATGGGGTGTGTACCAGGTTATTATGGCATGGAATATCATTCCATCATTGGATTCTTAATAAATTCGGTCTAGATCGCAACCAATGTCTTCACTTTATTCAATAATAACTCATCTAGTTTTTAAAACATTGGTTGATATAAAGAACACAGTTGAGTAACTAGTTTATTTATTTTGAGATTACACTTTCGTTCGGTTATTTGAATAAGACTTCTTGTGGTGGATTTGGCTTCCAACAAGTCTTGTTAATGTGGAGACATGAATTGAATTCATGTCACAATCAAGTCTCCGTGGAGCTTCTCTAATCTTACGAGCTTATTTAAGGGAATACCTCAAATAATCAGAGCACAAACAAAGGAGTAAAATCGTTGGTTACTCTTCTATGTGTACTTATCAAAACAAAAAGACTACGTTAAAAAAGAAGACCTCTATGTGCACTTGTGTGCAAGTACAGTGGCAATTAAACATGCTCATAAACTATACTATAATGGTACATTTTGTTTTAGATTTTGAAAAATATATAATTTTAATGCTTTTTAAAATATTTTGCAAGTTTTTGTCAACAATAATTAAAAAATTTGATTTTTATGCTAAAAATAAAAGTTATTTTAATTATTTTTGAAGAAAACAATTTTTAAGGTGTTTTTATTTTAAGGTTATGACAAACACTCATGCAAAAATGAGGTAAGGAAATCAACATTTTCATGTTTAATGCAAGTTTGTAAAAAAAAAATTCACATGTATTATTTATTTTTAAAAATAGAACTTACAGCAATTTCTCAATTACTTATTTCTATGTTAGATAGTGGAAATATTTTATTTTTAAGAATAAATTACAACATCCAATAATTATTTAATTTTTCCTACTATTTTTCTTATTTCCAAATTTTTATTTATGAATTAAATAAAATTTTAAAAAATGCTCTTAAGAATAAAAGAGTTTTATATATATAAAAAAAAACATTTGTGAGAATAATATTCTATGAGTATAATTCATAGAAAAATAAGTCCGTAAATATATTTTGTGACAACAAAACAAAGATAATTGTCTAAAAATATGTTTTTAAATAGGAACAGTCACCCTCTTATAAATATGCTTAGTAAGAATATTTGTAAGGTTCATTTTAATACTGGTTCATAACTCAAATTTACAACATAAATTTGTAAGATCAAAATTATCCACACTTATATAACAAACAAAACAAATCCACACTTGTAAATATATTTTTAAGTTATAGGAATATTTTATCTAATCTAAGATAAAAGATCATAATTTATAATGTTTATGTCCATAAGAATGGGATATAACATATTTAATTTTTTTTTAATATTTGACAATTAAATTATTATTTTTAAATAAAATAAATTTTTACAATATTAAATAGTATAAAAAATACACATCAAACATATTTATGATAGTTGGTTAATTTTTAAATAAATTAATCAATAAAAGTTATACTATTTAACTTAAAATAATTAATATTATAAATTTATTAAATTAATATTATAAATTAATAATTAAAAAAATAAGAGTGTCAAACTGCTGACTCACTCTTTAGCTAATTAATTATTTAGTAAATTAATTAACATTAAATTTATATCATATAAGCTAAAATAATTAATATTAGTATAATTTATAATTATATTAAAATTTAAAATTTAAAATTTTAAAAATTATCTAAATATGATACAACTTGACACCTGTGAATATAAATAAAAACTAAACATACATTATTTTATTCATATCCATATCAATTTAAGGTCGCAAGTGATGTTATTATATATTTTGATTCATTTTATAATTGATATAGATCCATTTAAAAATAAACTATTTTAATAATAAATTGAAAAACTATTTCAAAATCACTTTTGTTTTAATTAATAACACTATGATTATAAATTGAATCACAAAATTATATTTGTATATTTAGAATTTTTTTATTTTAAAATAACCATAATTTTCAATTAATTTTTCAAAAATAACATATATTTCAAAAACATTATCAAAATAACCAATATTCAAAAAATAATTTACGTGCCGAGAGGAGTAGCCATGCTTGATGGTGAGTGCACTAAAAAATTATACATAGGCGCCACCAAGCATGGCGCATGCATAAAGATCATGTCACAACATGTGGCGTATGCATGCATCCTGTAGGAGCATGAACCATAGACATTGACTACTGCTTTGTTTGGAGTTTTCTATAAATACTACATTCTCTTCTGGTCATTTTACACCCATTTTCTAAGTCTCTCCCTCAATTTTTCTTCAAAATGCATCATATATGTCATCTTATATTAACAAGAGAAATGTCGATTTGATTTATTAACACAGAGACGTTCGAGCATCTTCAGAGGAACTTGATCCTTTTGGTTAGATGGATACATTGCAGATGGTGAAAAGATTAGAAGAATTCAAAAGCTTGTTACCGTGTACAACGACAATGGAGAAATTCATTTCTGGGACAGTGTTAAAATTGACAGATATTGTCGTATTATGATGCATAGTAGTGAGGAAATTGTCCTGATGGTTGTAATTGCATATATATGTTATTTAGTCGTTGTATTTGTTTGTACTGTTGTCTAGTTGTTGTTTAAATTATTGTTTACTTATTGTTTAAATTATTGTTCTGTTGTTGTTTAAATTGTTGTAACCGAATTTTGTGATATTTATGGAATGCATGTTGTTTTAAATATCAAATAAAATGGTTATATATAAAATTATCTTGTGGTGCTTGCTACAACATTGGGACAGTTTTTATAACTGTGTTCGGGCTGATGACATGAACTACATAATCTCATCATTTTGTTCGACATCCATTTCGGTTTGAATACACGTGCTGATTGTGCCAAACTATCTCTCCTTGATATGTAGACTAATAATCCTCCTTTTCTACCACCAGAAAATGATTGTTATACATATTGCATATGTTTATGACTTTCTAAAC